GGGGGGGGGGGGGGGGGGGGGGGGGGTCGGGTCTGTGTCTTACTCTCCGGCAAGGTGGACTAGAGAATTGCTTTAGGGCCAGCTAAATGCGGAGGAAGTTATACTAAGACCCATGGTGGGGAAGAAGTGAAGAGCGGGATTCGAGGGGAGGAGAAGACCTCATTTGTTAAAATACAGAATCATGTTGCTTGCTTCACAGGTAAACTGAAAGATACTGTGGAAATCTTCCTACTTTTTTATTAATCCCTTTATTGATAAAGTACAAAGCAGGCTCATCATTTGTGAATATCCCTTGACATACAGTTTTAATAAATAAGTAAAGGAATTTCTTTGGCCCCATAAAGAACACTTGTTTGCAGCTGCCTATTTAGTCATTGCTTTCTTTACATCAGTACAGACTTGTGGATTCATATGTCAGCCACTGGGCTGCTATGATTATCATTCAGTGCTAAATTCTTCCAACTCAGCCGCTCTCACTTTGTGCCTGTGTCCTTTCCACGTGTCTCTGACACAGCAGGAAATGCAGGCTCTTCGTGCACCTCTCCTAATCCAGTCCTGGATTCCTTATTTCTCCAGAGTCCTGATTTCTTTCTTGGTGATTTAAGGCCAAGACATGGTTTGATAAACACACACATACGAATTTATTACATTTATTACACATGAGTCTATGCTAATATTTCTAATTCCAATTGAAAGTTACAAACTTCATTCCATGTTGTAAATTCTTTTTTAACAGAAAAACTTACAGCTCCCTTTTTTCAGTATATTTATTCATTTATCTAACCCTAAAATAAATGGATAGCATTTTCAGATTTGCTAATGTATGCAGGTAATAACATTAAAAAAAGGAAGGGAGTGGGTAGGGAGAAGGACCAAGAAAGGAAGACCTACTATCTACATTTTTGCAATTCACATAGGCCAAAATGAAGATGTATAGTCAAAACGCTTTGACAGAAAGTTACCTTTATTATTTATCTTTTCCCCCCTTCAGTGTGACTAAGTATTTATTTTTAAAAGCGAGACTTAGTTTTGATTGTGTCCCAGGTTAACTCTTTGCCCAGCTGTGTTTTTATTACCATTATGCAAAAGGTTGACATCTTTTTGAGTCAAAACTGTACAGGGCGTACTGGGAGAGGAACCAGCCTTTTCTATCACTTCCATCTCTCCATTGCCTTCAGTTTTGCTTTGTCTCCTGCTTTATTTTTGATAAAAATAAGCGAATGTGTGCATCCTGACATGTCCTTCTTACTTCTTATACAACAGATAACTTGCTTTTCCTTTCACAGTACATAATTAATCACTTTTTCCATTCATAAAATGATTACCCCTCCGATTTCAGAATGGCGTGTTACACCCTTGATGTGGCTGCACCTGAGTTAATCCTACAGTAGAGCTCCTGTGTGCATGTTGGTTTGTTTCCTGTATTTTGACACAATAATTCCACGAATAACACACACATTTGGCAATGCATCTTCAGGGTTAATTCACAGAATAAGCACATAGGTAGCTGAATAATGCTGACAAATTCCTCTTCATGCAGTTGAATATAGAATCATGTAGTTTCCATTCCTGGAAACAGCACATGAGAGGACCTGCTTTTCCAGCAGCCTAACCAACAGAAAACATTGTCGAGCTTTTTAATTTTGGTTAAACTGCTAAGTACAAAATAATATCCTGGTGTGTTTTAGTTTGATCTTTCCCTTATTCTGAAGGAAGTTAAACACTTTTCAGATATTTGAGGATAATTTTCCAAGGTGCTCATTTCTAACCTACATGTGTTATACTTACTTACTGCATGTCCAGGGTGTGGGGGCAGAACTCCAGACTCCACACAATTGTATGCAGGAGTTGGTGGAGTGAGTATAACTCTGATCACTTCAGAAAAATAACTCTGACATTTGGAGCCTTTTCTGTTTGTTGTTGTTGTTGTTTGTTTTTTGAGACAGGGTCTCACTATGTAGTCAAGACTGACCTGGAACTCACTATGTAGTCCAGGCTATGCAGCAATCCTCTTGCCTCAGCCTTCCGAGTGCTGGGATTACAGGTGTGTGCCACTATGCCCGGCTGAGCCTTTTCTGTTTTTATTCCCATCTTTTCTGGTCCAGAGGGCATCATTGTGCCATTGGGTACATGCTGTGTCTCAGATTGCTGACACTGGTTGTAGAGTTAGTGAATATTCTCCTACGACTTGTAATTGTAGTTTTGTCTTTCTTGTTTTTACTACACAATAAAGACGTGAATAACACAACTGACCTGCGGTCACTTTATCCTGTGACTTCAGCCACATGGACCTTTATCTTGCTCACCAGTGTGTCCTCCTCAGGGTTAAATTAGTAAATCAAAGCATAAGAATATATATATATATATAATCACTGAGCTAAATCCCCGGTATAAGAATAAATTTGTAGTGAGGAACTGTCATTTAAATTAAAAACTCATTCCAGTTCTCTGACAACTACATGGGTCAACTGAAAAGAAAAACCCCTGAGATCCCTCACCCTCAACATGAATAACAGACAAGGACTACTAAAAGGTGCATATTACTTCTAAGTAGAAAACTGAACATCAGCGTCCAAGGATAGCTCCCTCTGGAACTTCCACGAGCCCTTGTGGAGTTTGGTGGTGGTCATGGCATGGAAGGTCTCGAGGAAATTTGTGTGAAAGACACATGAGTGGAGTGAGGACCTAAGAGTTAGCGGAAATCTCCCCTAAGTGGGTATATGTGTACATAAATGCTTACGTGTATGAAAAGGAATTTAATTTCTAAGGACTGCTTTTGAAAGAACAAGGAAATAAAGGAATGGAGAAGTACCCCAGGGAAGGCTGGGCTTAAAAGAATGTCACTGGGCCTAGGACACGCTCTAGTCCAGGGCGATACGTCTGTGGAGGTCTCTGCCAAGGAAGGCTGCACTCACGCACTGGCGTTTGGATGTACCTTCCCTGAGAAGGGTTGGAGTCTTACATGGAGAGAACAGAAGGCTCGTGTCTACCTCTGTGGGAATCATGATTATTAGTTGCAAGTATTGTTAACTTTAGTAACTCCATTTTGTTAAGTTCTTCCACGTTAGAAGGTGGTGTATTTCATTTGTGGAATTCCTGAGAGTCGCAGCTTCTTAGCTCTGACCTTCAGACGCGTGGTTGTCTGGGGTACTGCTACCCATAATAATTGTTTTTGTTGAACCTTTTTCCTCTTTCCTGTGTGAACTCTCATTTCTGTAGAGCAGATGTTAAGGTTACTATGGTAATCCTAGCCCATAATAGTTTGTGTTTTTTTTTGCTTTAAAAGGCTGATGCTTGCCTTCAGTAAACGTCGCCTTGATCAGACTCTTGTCTTGGCGTCCTTCCTTTCTCTCTGCCCCATCTCCACCCCGCTGAGATTTCAGGTTTGAGGCACTGCTGGACAGTGCTCTGCGTTGCGTCGCCGGCTCGCGACATACCTCCCCTCGGATTTACTACATTGTTTCATTTATTCCAACCAACTCGGTGGGACTGGAGGGATTTGTCAGCTTGCAATACAAAGAAGAGCAGGATAGAACATAGAAAAAAAGACGAGATCCTGAACACATAGACAGTGTCTTCCGACTTTCCTCCCGACGTGTTCCACAAGTAAGATCTCAGTCAAATTGAGGGTGGCAATCCAGGAGCAAGGAGGAGTGCGAGGCAGGTGCAGACCGGTCTTTCCCTGGGTCGTTGGCCATGAAGACTTCAATATGCTAAACTCTGGACTTTCCTTCCTTAAAGACCCTGAAGTCAAAGCTGTAGCCAACTGTGGATCCTGACTATACTTAATTTCAAAAGTCAGAATTAACAAGAAATCCCATAACATTCTAGCTTTCACTGGTTATTATGAATCAATTAAAAATTTCCTGTTTGAGAAAGAAGAAAGAACAGTAGAGCCAGTCTTTTTTTTTGGTTATGAAATTTTATAGAGGAAGCACAAAGCAAAACTAACAGGAACAAAACAAATGCAGTTTGCAGAATAGCTCTGGACCTGTGAATACAATCTTTTCATTGTAATACCAATTTTATAAAATATATTTATTTATTTATTAGGGTTTTTTTTTTTTTTTTTTTTTTTTTTTTTGAGACAGAGTCTCACTATGTAGTTCAGGCTGGCCTTGAACTCACTTTGGAGCCTGAGCTGGCCTCAAACTCATGGCAATCCTCCTGCCTCAGCCTCCCGAGTGCTGGGATTACAGGCGTGCACCACCACACCCAGCTATCAAACATATTTAAATAAAATCCAATTTGTTTGAAAAATAAGTCTAATTTTTCCAAAAAGCTGTTCAAATTACTTGTTGGAGTCACTTTTTATGAACCTGATTACAAATACTGTAAACAAAACTGGATGACAAGAGACTCAGAATAGCGATGGTTAAGATTCTGAGGAAAATTGAATGAGAATCTTCTTATACGCATTAGCAAATACTAATTCAGTCTTTGTGTAACCTCAGAAAGGAAAACTTCAGCCTGGGGCAATGGGAAAAAGATACATGTAGTCACCAGCCTGAGAGGAGAATTGCTGCTTGGAAGGCTTTTGTGTTTGGAAGTGGCTTTTACGAAGCCACCAACCAGTCTTATCGGCCATAACAGAGACACCTGGGAGAGTATTTCTGCAAATATGTCAAGCGCACTTGAAAAAGTCATAATAATCATTGGACTTTTAGAATTTATAGCAGGGATTTGGGGAAATGGATTCATTGGAATAGCAATATCTGCCAAATGCCTCAAAAACAAGACCATCGCCTCGATTGAATTCAACCTCCTGTGCTTGTCTATCTCCAGAATTGCTGTCATGTGCACACTCCGTGAAGATAGCATTGGAAGAGTGTTCTACCCAGGAATATTCGAAATGCACCAGGTGATAAAGATAGTTATCGATTTCTTCTGGAAGCTGAGCAACACCTTGGGTATGTGGTGTGCTATCTGGTTTGTTATCTTCTATTTTCTCAAACTACGCCATTTCTCTCACGCCCCCTTTCTCTGGTTGAAGCCGAGAAATAATAAAGTTTTTGCGTCACTCCAGTGGGGCGCTTTCTCTCTTCAGCTGTTCATCTGCTGAGCATCAACTTTTTTGCTTTTTGGATCCGTGACTATCTAAATGTTATAAGAAACTTGATTTGGAAAACATACGCGAGTAAAAGCCAGTCTTTTAGCCATCAAATTTTCCTCAATCTAGGGATGCTCAGCCCACTGGCTGCCTTGCTTTTTGTGCTTATCTTCTTTTTGTGGAGGTATACCAAGCAAAGGAAGCACTGGGCCAAACCATCCTGAGATGACAGCAAAGAGGTTCGTGTGAGAACCAGGAGTACCGTGTTTTCTTTCATGCTCGTCCTAGTCGTGCACTGTTTGGACGCTCTCCTCGTAATCTGGCATACTCCGCACCAGAAAACTCTGAAAGTGTGATCATTGCTGAGATGGTCGCAGTGTTTTATCCTTCACTTCACTCTTTAAGTTTGATTTGGGGGCAAAAGAAACTGAAGCAGAATTTTGTGAATCTGCTCAGGAGATTCAAATCCTTTTTCCAGAGAATGTAACCCTTCACAGCATGGAGGATCCCGAAGAGAGGCAGGGTCCTCCTGGAGGGTCTTTAAGGGGACGCTCCTCTCCCCTTAACGGCACCATTGCTTTTATCGAGCATCCTGCAGAATTTTAAAAATATGTCCATGGACCAAGCTACTGACATAAGAGAAAAAGCCCCCTGCATGCTATGAAATTTAGGTCATTTGGTATAAAGTATTCAATTTAATTGCCACAAAATTGTACCTCTTTTATTCCTGTTACCTTATTCTGTGATGAAGATGCTAAGGCTCACCATACTCAAGTGACTACATAAGGTGTAATCATCAGGATTCAAACAGCTTCTGACTTCAAAGTAGGAGTAGGTAGAGAAGAATTGAAGTCTTCTTATTAGTTTTTGTTTTATTTTGTTTCGGTTTTTGGTTTTTTAAGACAGGGTCTCACTATGTAGCTGAGACTGACCTGGAACCCACTATGTAGCCCAGGCTGGTCTCGAACTCACAGCAATCCTCCTGTCTCAGCCTCCCGAGTGCTGGGATTACAGGTGTGCTCCACCACGCCCGGCCTTCTTATTAGTTTTGATTCTGCTGCTAATAACAGTGTCCCAAGTAGTTGCATAGTCTGATACACTACTTTATAAAGTTTTGCATTAATTAAAGGTTTTGTTTTAACTAAAAAAGAAATGAATTGCAAAAACAAGTAAATTCTAAAATATCCATTTAAGTGGGAAATGTTTAATAATAAAATTATGAGTATTAAGAATGCATTGTTTGACAATAATATTATAGTAGTCAACTGAATAAAGCTTGTATGTGTGCATTTTTGTATATTCTTAATTCAAGCACATTAAATATTCCAGTAAATAATTGTTGATTGAAATCTTCATTGACTGAAATGTCACTGAATGAATACTATAATCTTTTCTTGCATGCTATTTGTAATTATTTTAAGGAAATGTTTGGAAATATACTAAATCCATTCCTGCTCAAGACTCCATTTGGTACATTATTTTCCTAATTTCTCCACTCTGAAATACATTTCTATACTTCTACCCAAAACTTTTATCTATCTCAGAGCTAAAACTTTTATATTAAAATACATTTGCTGGGTGTGGTGGCACACGCCTGTAATCCCACCACTTGGGAGGCTGAGGCAGGAGGATCGCTGTGAGTTCAAGACCAGCCTGGGCTGCATAGTGAGTTCTAGGTCAGTCTCAACTACATAGTGAGACCCTGTCTCAAAAAAAAAATTAAAATAGATTATTTCTAGGCTATTTATTTGCATGATTTTTGTGTTGTTCTCTTTGCCTATATAGTGCCATGGTTTTACTAATTGCTTATTCTCACTTATGCAATGCAATTATGTGTTGCTAATTAACATAATAAATATGGTCTATATGTGGATCTCAAAATCTGTCAAGACTTCCTTCTTTGATGTATGAAAATTTCAACTTTAGCATCTATTTCATTCCTGCTAAAATTATTTGTTCATTTTTAAATGCAGGACTATGTCACTTCATAGCATTATGTAACTTGCTTACTAGGCACAGAGTTTTGGACCCATTATCAACATTTTAGAACCTTAAAGAAAGCAACAAAACATAACATTTGCAAATGCACATATAATTATTTATCGATGCACTAGTTAAAATAGTGTGTCTTTCGTTCTAAACTGGAGGTGAAGCTCTTTGCCCCTCTCTCCAGGCCAGCTGAAAACATCTGGGAACATTTTCGATTTTTATAACTAGGGGAAGGGTTACTGTCATCTTATGGGGAGAACCAAGAATGCTACTCAGCTCTGCAGCCACAGGACAGCATCTTACAGCAAAGAATTAGCCACCTAAGACGTGTGTATGCCCTTTCTAATTACATATAACGTAATATGTGTATAACTATGTATAGCCAGAAGCACCTTAAACTTTAAGAGAAGAGAAATTGTTAAGGACTCAGTAAAAATGATTACCTCTTCAGCAATCACGATGGTAGAGAACATTTTGGATAGAAGATAATTATTTGTTTCTTAGCAAAATATTGCAAAGCCACACATTCTATGTGCTTTCCCACAAAAGCCACAAAACTTATGAAATTTCATAGGAAAATCATGACAGTGGATCTTTAAAATAGTTGTCATGGTTGCTTCTAAATGTTTGCATATATCAGGACTCTGATTGGAAGGTACTTAAGAAATTTCCTTTCCAAAATAGTTTTTTGATACCTGTGGTTGGATTACCGTGAAAGATTTATCTACTTTCCATAACATTTTGCTTCCTGGTAAAATGGAAATTCTCTTTATGGTATCATGTGACATTTGCATCTTAGTTTGGATGTAATGCTAGAAGAAGTCTGAAAAGAGAATAGAGAAAATCAGAGGACCTTGGTAAAGATGCAAAAATATAATATCCTGAAGCCAGAAAAATTGAAATATTCAAGTTAAGGAACATAAAATATAGAAATAGTTACTAAAGCTATAAAACTTAAAAAATAATTTTCTTATTTCCTATATCAGGGAAATCATCATGATGCTACAGTTTAATATATACTGCTGAATGATTACAAAAGAGAATATTTTCTAATTTATATTGACCTTATATGCTGACTGAAGTTTTCAGGAAACACGAAACATAATTATGTATTGTACGCAGCATGAATCTATCCTACAAATATCTCTGAATTACTAATATTTTGGGGGAAATGTATTTAACAGGAGGCTTTGACTCCAAATAAGGAAACCATTTCTCAAATTGATATGGAGTATAAGGAAAATTATTATCACATATAACTAGATATCTAAGGATGAGAGAGTTCCACCCATGGTAATACTAGGAACCCAGGTCATTTTCTGCTTTATTCTGATGAACTGTGTTTTCATCTTGGAGCTTTTCACTTTTGGGATTACAAGACTGTTGCTAACAGAAATTGGGTTTGTTTTCTTAGTCTCGTCTGCCTGGAGAGGAAAGCCTTACGTGATCACTGATTTTTAAAATCCTTTCATTCTGTTGAAACAGTTCAGAACCTGATACCGTGCTTGAACCAGGAACCTCTGCCAGAAGCATGTCATGAAATGATTGGCTTTAAGTGGAATGATTAGAGCTCCACTCTGGAGTGGAGTTTGGAGTATTTCCTGGACAAAAGTGTTATGTGAGATGTGAGAGTCCCGATCCTTACTAAAATATATACAAATTGAAATTGCATGAAATTTAGAATGGGCACAGTGGTGTATGCCTGTAATCCCAGCATTCAGGAAGGAAACTGAGGCAGGAGGGTTCCTTGAGCTCAGGAGTTGAAGACTAGCCTGTGGGAAGTAGTGGTACATCATCTCAGAAAGGAAGAAAGGGAGGAAGGAAGGAAGTAGGGAGGGAAGAAAGCAGGATACAAAAAATCTGGATAAAAATCATACTGTAATGATAAAAAGCTAATGTCCTTTTCCAATAACAAAAGCCAAATTTAGTCTTCTAGTCATCTTAAATATAAAACTATACCCTCTCAAAATGAAAGCACAGTGTCTGGGCTTTAAAATTTTGTAAGCCTTTATTTTGTAGACAACACTATTTCACAGCTGACCTGGATGCCTTCTCATTAAAAAGCAGTGTCTGAAACAGAAACCAAAGAAGAAATTAATCTTGTCTGCCACCAGGTAAATCTGAAGCCAGTCTAGCAGCAGGTGCATTACAATGAGAGAATATCTTCCTCTAGGCAATTTCTCTGAAAGCATCTTTACACTCTTAGAAACTGGAAAATGCAGAACATGATTTTGATGATAACCGATTGGATGGAGATAGTGAGTTGACAGGATCATAGCAAAGTAAACAAAGAAAGTCTTTATCTTCACTAGCTGGATTGTACCCAGGATTTCTTTGATGTGGATTGTATTAGTGGATTTTTAAAATTTTGTACTCTGTCTAAATAAGTCAGTCTTTGATTTAAAAAAAAAATCTCTTTGTGTGGTGTTTTGTGTGTGTGTGTGTGTGTGTGTGTGTGTGTGTATCAAATGTCTCCTAGTATTTCCATGCCTTGTGACTGAACCTTGTCTTCAAAGGACAAAAAGAAAATAAAGATGTATGCTTAATCTCAAGAAGAGACACTTTGAATTCTAGAAGAGACTGGGACCATGTAGTTAACTACAAAAACATGTACAGTGTTTATGTACTATATAAAACAATAGCAGCAACAAAAGCAACAAAACTCAAAGGTCATTGATAACTAAGGGAGAATAGTTACAGAAAAAAGGCTAATTTT